TGCTGCTGATCATCGCTTAATTAAAACTTTTTACAGTTTGAATCCAATTGAAAACCAGGTATCCATTTCTTCCTATTATTCTGATATTTAGTTAGTAATATATGATTCTTTAGATTTGTTCAGCCAAAGTGATCTGGCAAGCTACGAAAGATAAATTACAAGCTGAAGAAGAAGTAGCCATTCTTAAACAACGTATTTATACGAAACGATTACCTGCATCCTATGCGATTCTTGATCACTCCATTGATCCGATAGAGAATATGTTAAAACAACCAGCACTCAATAAAGATAAACGTGCGACATTATCATTTCGTCGACTTAAAACAATTGCTCAATTCAAATACGATATGATGGTCTTGACGATTGCAACCGCTGAAGAGACAGTTCGAAGTCATATCAGCATCATCGCTAATGAAAAGAAGAAATTAATTGATAATACTAGTGGTGGACAAGTTCCTCTTCCGAAGCCACTCATTCAACTGATGAATGCTATTACGGCACGTCAAACTAATATGATACAACGTTCTCAACATATTCTACAACAAAAATTATCGGTTTTCGACAACGCTCCAGTGGCAGAAAATATGGCTGGTGCCACTGGAGCAGTGTAATTGATCTTTTCAGTCATATTCTTCCATCATCACCTATCGTCGAAGTCGCTTCTACTCTTCAACCGAAACATTTCTCTTACCTTACCAATGGTCCTAAATATGTTCCACCATGTCAAAGTCGTTTCTCAAATGGAACTATCGATAAAATTATTCTGCACGAATATAATCATATTATTCAAAGTTTTGAAAAGGATCTTACAAAAAATTGTATTTCAGCTTCTGATCAACGCGCCAAAGATTTCTTTACTGATATAGAAAATCTTCTTCGTCGACTCTATACAAATATATTACCTCCTAAATTATTGGCTCGAGCTCAATATGAACATCGAATTATGAAGAGTACACGACGTCAACTCAAAAAATCTAATGTTATTATTCGTATTACGGACAAAAGTAAAGTATTTCACTTAGGTAGTGTACAAGATTATCATGAAAAAGCATTACAATACATGCAAGATACTAATGCCTATAGAGAAATAACAAGTGGTATTAATCCATGTCACGATCATGTACAAACAGTCTTAGCATTAATAGATCCAATGTTGAAAAAGAGAGAGATTAATCTCGAATTATGGAAACAA